TCTCTCTCTCTCTCTCTCTCTCTCTCTCTCTCAATTAAAGCAAATGTGAATATATATGTTATATGCCATCTTGATCATTTGTAGTAATATATTGTAGGGAAAGGGCTTAATATAAGTTGTAAAACTTGTGCCCAACTCCCATTGTATATAAATTACAATAAAATATGTTTAAATCAAATCCGCACAAGTTAATACTAACTTACAAAATAAAGATTCGTTTTACAGATAAACACGAAAAAAAAACCATCATGGACCGAAAACGAGAACAAGAGTTCCAGATGAATAAGCTTTAGTCCCGCTCGCAGAACCCGCCATAATGTCTCCCTCCCGACATACCAGGCAATATAAGTAAACAATTAAGACAAATTGAACATGATAGTAATCATAACAGATACATAAATCCCATAGTGGGAAACAAAATCTGAATGGCGATCGTACCATTTCTTTAGCGTTGACCGCAGTCTCGTAAGTACACACTTGCGTACATTTGCCAACAGTGGGCATCTCGCAAGAAAATCCTGATAACATATAAACTCCGAGAAAAAAAAGAGAACAATGCATTACAGGTATGCTATAGTGATATAATTATTCCTAAACTAAACCAAAATCCCAAAGTATATATTTTCACGATGGAGTCTTCACGCGGATTAACGCTAAAATAAATACCTCGCGAAATATAAATGAATTACAGTACATAGTAATCAAAGTTCGTGTTATTCAGAGGAAATACATCATCAATATAGCTTGGCATCATATAACCCTCACAGCCGTATACACTGTCACTGATGTACCTGATATCCAGATGACGTTGTTGTTGGTGACGTCATTACGGTGCGTAATGTATTACGTCATAATGTATGTCCGCTATATTGTTATATATATAAACAATGATTATTTTAGAACAATTATGAAACAAGTTATTTCAGCAATCACTCTTGTTGGCCCGGATATAAGCGCAATTGGGTCTGAATGTGGGAGGAAACTCGAGTACCCGGAGAAAACCGACGTGATTGGGCAGGTGACCCCTACCTTTTCACATCCAATCGGGGAATCGAACCCCAGCCGCATTGGCGAAAGGGAAGTGCGCTATCCACTGCCTAAATCTAAATATAATATGATGCATTTTCATATAATCTTTGTATTATATGATAAATAGAATCTGTATTAGATCATTCTCCTGAAGAGCTGTATAGCAACTAAAGGCCTCAAGAATCGGCTTTATTTTGCTTTATTTTGTATCATTTTCCTTGTATTTTTTATATATATTAAATGATTTATAGTTTAATAAAAATCAACCGTCAAAGACCACGCCCATGCGTAGTTATTGAGATTTATGTGATTATTGACTAATGTTCGTTTGAATATAAAGAATAAGAATAATTTTGTATTAAATTGAATTAAACTGCATTGACTTTATCACAATTCCGACACAATTTCTATCGACATTTTTTTTATCCGGATGGTAGCGCGCAGGGTGTCTGAAAATGGGGGAAAACAATCATTATGTTGATAATTTGAAGATGGTCGGGTGGCGCAGAGGATAGCGCACTCGCCTTTTACTTAGACGACTAGGGTTCGATTCCCTGACCGGACGTGTAAAGGTATGGGTTCACCTGCCCGACCACGTGGGTATTCTCCTGGTACTCCGGTTCCTCCTACATCAAGGCTCCCTACGTGATTAGAATGATCTATATAAGTTATATAATTTGTTTCATAATATTTGCAAAAAATATTCAGCGTTAAGATTTAAGCAATTTTGTGTGTTGTGATTCAAAAGCGTTTTAGTTCGTTTACTGGCTCCTGTTCTTTGCTGCGGTACACGTCTCTCAATTTTAACACTTTCTGGTACTCTGGTTGTTTGCACGATTGATATGGCAAAGCATCAAAATGTCCAAAATAAATGGTTACAGCGTTATTTTTGTGATCACAATTATACAGTTTAATTTGTATTATATGATGAAAAGAATCTGTCAATCGTTTCCCTTCATATTACATTTATGATACTCGTTTTGGACTTTTCATATTTGCTCGCCAGGCTTGCCAACATGAAAAATCCATAACTTGTATCATAAATCTTATATGAAGGGACACCTTTGACAGGTCTTCTCTATACATATATTGAAAAATGGTAATCGTAATATAGATATATATAATTTCCTTATTAACTTTCATTTCAATGCTTCACTTCCCACTTGATTACGCTTTCATCAAGGATATTACTGAACCTATTCCAAATTGATTTACTACATAAAAACCCATGTGTAGGGGAATCGTATTTTGTCTTCGAATGCAAGATAAACGTATATCGATTGGTGAGAACTGATTTTAGAAGAAAAAACATTAGCTTCAAGTGCACATGAAAAACGATCTTGGATAACAATTATCAAAATACATTTCCAAAACTTTACTGCTAACTTGTAAAATGGGCCCTCAGATAATTCCATACCCATACGTGGAAATACATGTATTGCACATTTATATACAATAGAGAGACATGATATAATCCTTATTTCCATCACATTATTTTTATTTCTAATGCTGTTTAACTGGATGATATATGCCAGATCTTTCATATCACCAACACAATATATCAAAAGCAAATAGAATCTGTATAAAGATGTATATTTAACAAATGAACGTTAAAGGGACATCACGTGAAAAGGCGATTTTTTTTAATGAATGTATGTATTGTATGCACTTCCACTTATGTTACCACGCTATCCCCATATTCATAGTCCGTTCCAAATGTCCAGTTTGACCACTTGAATTGTTCGGGAAAGCCCTGCTCAAAATAGCGCCGATTAACGTCACCTGACTAGGCAGTAAACACAAGTGGTGCGAGCGAGATGAAACGGTTTCCAAAGGGGCCCCCAGAGAGGGGCCGTCAGGCAACTGCAACTTCTTACCGCACTATGAAACCAAGTTATATGATTTCTAGGTCCGTATTCAAACTTATTGAACAGTAATATATTCATCATTAGAAATTAATTGCACACTTGCCAATATTCAGAATTTAAATTTATTTAGCTTTAAACATAAATGTGTTGCCAATAAAATTAAACAAGGGATGGGGCACAAGTTTTTACAATTTATCACAGCCTTCT